TTATTCATTGTTATACCATATCTTTTATTTCGATAGAATCACCAACCTCGTCACAACCAACTTACTACATCAATGGATAAATTGAACCGTAAAATGTTATCCAAACTGAAATGGATATAAATTAAATCTTTACATTTGTATAAAATAAATCAATATATTTACCATTAAATGAAAATTTGCTGCGATATAAAATCAAATCTATGCATTGGAATTTTTTCATCATTTCCAAAAATAACCAAAGTAATTCATATATTAAGTATACAACATCTAATCGTATGCCATTACATAAGCAAATAATCGTTAAGTATCCTAAATAAATACAATGTAACTAATAATTACAAATATAAATTTAAACATAAGATTTTGAAAATTACCCGGACATTGATGACCTAAAACTAACACAAAATTACTAACACAAAATTCGCTTGATGGGGTTTTGTATTGATAGAAATTTTATTTGTGTCGTATGATGTGTTAGATCTGCATGTAAAAAAACATTTAGTAAAAAAAACATAAACATATAATCGTTGAGTATCCCAAATTAATGCAATGTAAGTAATAATAGAAATGCTAATTTAAACATAGGATTTTAAAAATTAAGCTAAAAATTACTCGGCTATTGATGATCAATTACTAACACAAAATTTGCTTGATGGGGTTTTTTTATTGATTGGAAATTTTATTTGTATCGTATAATGTGTCAATTTATAATGGTAGGTATCACAAATTTTAATTTAATTATAATTAACAAACAATTTTTATTTCTTATCATAAATACTATCAAAATTTATCTTATAATGATAGGTATCAAACTTTATTATAAGCGTTTATCATTTAAATATTTTTTAGTATATTTTTTTTGGATTTCTTATACTCGTAGTATTGAATTAATAAATTTATCTTTTCCTATATTTTTACTTTACTTTTTTCATTAAAATAATTTAATTCGTGGATTATATAATTTTACGTGGCATTAAAATTTTAGATATATCAAATCTAATTCGTTACTTTTATCTAGGTGGAGACATAATTTTTTAATTCAAAAATAAAATACAAATCTTTCTTCTTATTGGTCGAAATAAGCATATTTCTTACGTGGCGCTCCGAATGCTCTCCAAAAATGCCTATTTATATATATATATATATATATATATATATATATATATATATATATATATATATATATATATATATATATATATATATATATATATATATATATATATATATTATAATACTAAAACAGACACCGGGAATGACACGTGTCATTTTCTGGTGCTGTTTTTTCCCTCTAAAATTCTCTCCCCTGTTTTTCCCTCTTTTTTTTTTTTTTTTTTTTTTTTTTTCTTTCTTTCTAGCCAGTGACACTAATTACCTACTACAAGTTATACACAAAATATTCACTAAATCATATAATATGTTTGTGATTATATTGATTCATATACTTTTCGTTTCTATAATTAATATTTTCCATTCTATATAATTTTAGACTACATATCTAATGTAATATTAAATAAATATAGAGTTTCCAAATTTTACTATACAAAACTAACGTAAAATTAAATTAACTTAGATAAAAGAAATATACATCTAAACGTTAAAAATATTTTCCAAGGAAAATTATGCTAAATTTATTATAATAATAATAATTAAAGATTTTTGTGAATACGACAGGTAAAACATGTACTTCGTATTAGATTGTTGCTATTAAAGCGGAAGGTATGACAAGAAAATTTTAGTTTTTTTCTCTACGGGAGATAGGAAATGAATGAGTCAAATTCTTTTACATAGTTATGTGGAGCAATATTCATTTATTTTTCAATTAATAAAATGAATTTATAAAAAAAAATACAAATAACTTAAAATACTATTCAAATTACGTTCCTTTATTTTTGTATCGACCATTAGTAAATGAGCCCTTTATTACTAATTGAATTATATTTTTTTTTTCCTACGGGATTAGTAATTTAATTTATAAACCGTGTATCGCGCGGGCACTATTCTAGTATATTATAAAAATTATACAAAAAATATTACGAAGTATTTGAAAGCGTACAACAAGATTACCCCAATGTAGGATAATATTTTTTATTTATATATATTACTATAAATAATATCAAAGTCAAACTATTGCGAACATTCAAAGACACAAGGAATAATATTCATACAAAAATAAGCTAGACTTAGATCACCCCCAAAATTTTCCTCCAATAATTTACTTTCCGCCGCAATAACTTCACATACTAAAGAGTACTCTTTACATGTATACATAGTTGAGTCTTAAGCCGATTTAGAAAAGATATCTATTGGGGTCTAAATAAACAAATAAATCTATTAGAGTCCGCCGATAAATTCGTTGAATTTTTCATTTTTAAAATCATTTTATAATAAATATTATGAGAATTGTAAAATCAAGTGAGGTCAATTTATCACACAAATTATAATGTAGGTATACCACATAGTAACAATTATTTTTGTCAACCCCACAATGTATTGCTTGGTATTCACAATAATTTTATGTAAATACCTTATACAAAAGTGCCTTTTTAATGTACCTAATCAGGTAATATTTATATTAATTGCATCCCAATTTAAAGGCTCCTAGTTACACCACTAACTTATTCAACAATCAAATGTAAATCAATCATATAAAACAAAATGAAAGACACAAAACATCATCAACAATAGATAGCGCTAAAGGGGAGTGTCCAAAGACAATGGCTAATGTAGACCTTAATGATATGTTCATGCCTTTAAAATCACATTAATGAATATTCCCATCCCATTTTCACAAACCAAAAAAGAAGCAATTACTGTTTATTAGGCGGATTGATTTTGGACAGTCTACCTGTCATGTGGATAATCCAGGGGGAATGAAAGAGGGAAAGCCTCTGTCACCCCCAACACACATAAGTTCAATTTGTGGAGAATTTGTGTATTATTCCTCAAAAATTAGGTCCCACCAAGAGACATAATATTAGAAGCTAAAGCTACCACGTATTTAGTGTCTTCTATTTCTTTTAATTTTAATATTATAGTAAGTAGAATGACTTTAATGAACCGACATTTTTCACAAGTTAATATAATAATGTAATTTAATTTTTAAAAATAGAACAATTTTAATGAACTGACATCTCTGACATATTAATCCAATAGTATAATCTAACTTTGGAGGATGGACTCAATGAAAGTGACGGTAAAGGTTAACGAAATCCTCACTTCAAAATAGCCCTTAATTAGTGATGGCTCAATATACCTGGTCTAAAAATCTAGCCTTACAAAAAACGGTGGTCCGAACTGACTTGAAACAAACATGCAAACTTAAATAGAATGTGAGAAAGAGACTTGACGCAAACCAAAACTCGAATCAACGTGTTTTCTGTGCAGATTGTCACACCTTGTGACTTGCACAAAAACGGAGTAACTCCTATAATACTGATAGAGTAACCTTTATTATAGTGATAGAGTAACCCTTTATGATACTTATTGAATAATATAGTAATCTCTATATTATTGAGTAACCCTATAATCTTTTTTTTTAAATGACATCAACCCTATATAACCTTAATCGAGTAATCTCTATAACATTAATCAAGTAACCCCATCATTGTTGCTGCTCACACAGTCACATATAAAAGTCAGTGAACTCCAATAGATCTATCTCAAAATTAACCTGAACATTTAAAATCACAAACTGTAAACTGTCGTGAAAGAAGATCCCAAAAAGTAAAAAATTAGTGTCATATTAACATTATTTTTTGTAACTTTATATCATATCAATAACATTAACTTAATTTATTTTGATTTAGCAATTTTGTATTTTGCAATAACTCCTCTAACACCACTATCATTAGAAACTTGTCTGAATTTACTAAGAATTGAAATAATTACTGTATAACATATTGGAACTTAGCTTACATTATTTTTAAAAAATATTTTCACACATATACAAGTAGGTTTAATTTTGTATTGAATATGGAAACCTAAACATTAAATAATCAAACTCAAAACTGAAACAACATAATTACTCCGTAATAAACTTGAATTAACATAAACCCGAACCAAACTGAATAAAAATGACCAAATTAGACCCAAACTTGAATAGACTCGGTCCAGAATCAGCTTTGACCATGGGATGTACCCAATTGGTTTGAATGAATCAACTCATATCATGCCTGATTTGAGCTACTCGTTTGCTAAGTCTACTAGTCTACGCTAGATTGAACTTGTGATACAAATATTTACATTATTGTATACTAGAAGCCCTAATGTCCTTTTGTTTTCAAGTAACCCCGGCCCGTTTTATAGTTACGACACTTCAACCCATCTTTTAAAGATAATTGTCCACCAATTATGAGACAATCATTATCTAGAATTAGAGGAAGTATTATATAGACTATTACATACAAAGTATTAATTATTACACTAATTTAATTGTATAGCAGTTGCCAATAGTAATCAATACTCTCTCACTATGTGCATGAGTAATTCCTTAAGTATGTTGTAAAGATGGTATTGGGTTGAGTTGACATGTGATATAAAATGACCTAACACACAAAAAAAAAAAAAACACGATATAACATGAAACATTGTTGTGCATTTCAAGTTGCGAGTTGAGCCTGAGCTATGTTGGAGAAATACCAAAATACACAACAAGATATAGTCTGAAATGACAACACGTGTTAAAATAAGTTGAAATTTGACTTAGACACGTAAGCACATCATGACATGGTGGCATTTGGGTTTGAGTTGTATATAATATAATTCATCCTTTTAGAATTTTGGACAAGACATGTAGCTAGTGGGCTCAGCCAGACCAGGTGTAAGCCCGTCGCAAGGCAGTGCATGAGCCTAACACGCCCCAGAATATAGGATTGTAAGAAATATATATTTCGTATAATAGCCTATACAATATTATGCGCACATAATTTGGTCCTACCAAAAATTAGGCTTTCAATGTCTCTAGTATATGATACTTGAAGTAATATATTTTTCAATTATATAATTCTAGGTGATCTAGAATATAGAGGGGGCCATAAAATAGGGGGGAAAAGTTTACATAAAAAAGGCCTACCATATTTAGAGTTTTTTAATCACATCAAAATTATTATTCCTAAATAAAATTAGGAGTGGGATTATAGTTCTCACACTCTTCACTTCATCATATATACCAACCCCACTCCTATAAATTTGCTAACTCTTCTAACACCCCTCTCAAAGTCTCAATTATCCACAACTCATTTGTCCCTCTCTTTCTCTCTTTAAAACATTTTAATTACAATCAAATTATTTTCAAATGGCTAACTATTTCACAGGAAACTCCAATATTTTGTCATCGAACAATTCATTTACATTTCTTGATAATGATCTTAATTGGGACTTAACAAATCCTTTCATGGCAATCAACCATTGTTTGGTACAAAATTCAAACTTGGATTATCAAAATTTGATGGGTTTTTCCAATGATCAAATTACTCTCACTGAACAAACATCTGAACTTCAAGTGAAAATGTTTGGAAACACTCAAGTTTCAGAGCAAGCTCAAGCCGATTCAGCCGTGTTATCAGGAAATGGAAATGAATGCAGTGGAAGTGGAATAACCAACAAAAGAAAAGCAGAGGATTTGGCAGAGAGTAGCAGTTCTTTACATTCATCATCTCCTACTTCTAAAGATCGAGCTCGAAAGAAATATGTATACCCATTTATCATCCTGCTTAGTTTTTCGGTTTTATACAACAGGTGTATTATATACTGACAGTTTACTCACCTAAATCACATTAAAGTCAATCATTTCCGAAGTTGACTATTATGTGATCACGGCCACGGGTGATTAAGCCGGTTGTCTACATTATACACCCGTTGTATGCAAGTTTTAGTTTCGTCATTGATCTGTTAGGCATCAAACTAATCAAAATTTGAAAAACATTATTTCGAGTCTAATTTAAATCAATGCTGATATATTTATGTATATTTGTAACAGAGCTCAGGCAGAGGAAAGAGAAGCAAGAACAATGATAAAGATGAAGGAAACCCGAAAGAAGTTGTTCATGTTCGAGCAAGACGTGGCCAAGCTACAGATAGTCATAGTATTGCAGAAAGGGTATGTATTAATTCAAACATCTAAATAATTAATTAGATATTAATTTAGTGAATAAAATGGTAGTTCTGCTTCAAATTGTAGAAAATTATTGATAAAATTTTGCTGAATTATTTGGGTTCTTCAGGTACGAAGAGGAAAGATTAATGAGAGACTTAGATGCTTACAAGACATTGTTCCTGGTTGCTATAAGGTACGAATTAGTCTAGTTTTAAATATTATATGTGACTATTAATTTCAGACAGGTAGAGTATTATATTGTTAGTTTTACATGAAATAATTATATGGCGGGCTGTTTAATGCTAATTTTGATTGCAGACGATGGGAATGGCCGTGATGTTAGATGAAATAATCAATTATGTTCAGTCATTGCAGAATCAAGTTGAGGTGAGTTTGTGATTCTAATAAACTTTTAGCTTAAGAAAATTAAATACCAGTAATTATTGTTACTGAATTATCATTGACTATTAATTTTTTTTTTTTTTTTTTTTATTTATTTATTTATTTTTTTTTTTTTTGCCTATTCAGTTTCTTTCAATGAAGCTTACTGCTGCCAGTCAATTTTATGATTTTAATGCCGTAAACGAACCTGTGGAGAAAAAACAGGTATATATTGTTACGCAACTATGCACTTCATACGTAGTACGTAGAAATAGGTACACCCGGGTAGATGCAAAAACTTGAAATGTATTTTAATTTGGTTAATTTGTTGATTTTCTTACAGAAGATAAAGGGATGCAACAGTGAAGAAGTAGAAGATGTGCAAAGGATAATTAACAAGGGAGGATATGATGAAGCACAAACAAATTTGTATCAATCAACATGGCCCTTTTGACTTGGAATTTGGATTGTTGCTCCAAATTGCTTTGTATTTGATTACATATGATTCATCCCCTTGTTATTGTCATCTTTAGAACCCAACAAATATAGCAAAAGAACAAAGAAAATTCAACAAATTATTTTTAGAAATTGGATAGAATAGATAATTTTCAATATTTCAATGTAATTCATTAATTATTTGAGAGAGTTGTCGAATTTTTATTGGCTTATTAAAGGAGAAAGAAGCTTAATTACCTTTTTTTTTTTTTTTTTTTTTTTTTTTTTTTTTGTATCATTGGTTTTTTATGAATATAAAGTTGGTTGGATCTAGTAGTTAATTATTAAGTGGTTGCCAATGTTCTAGAGAACAAATAAAAGTCCTTGATTTGATGTTTTTGCATTCCAATTCATAGAGTTAAGGTGTCGACCATAAACAAACAACTGAAAAAAATTGGTATATGCTAACAAATAAGAAATGATTGCATGCAAATTATTATCTTATTATCACTATTACATTTAAAAGGGTGGTCCATAAGTGGGTATCAAGGACTAAGGGTTTCAACAAGTTGGTCAGGTGTAATGAAGGGACGATCTTAAGGGAAACTTGTCCTGGCGGGTGTAAATTGGATAAGACGGATTGAACATTGTCAATTTCAACTTTAATCATTAATATTAATATAAATTTGATATCTAATGGGGTGTGACGTGTGAATTGGATGTGTTGTATATATTGAACACTAATAAGTTTAAATCTAATCAAAATTAATTGAGCTTGATATCTAAATTCAAGACCAATTTAAAATCCATGCTTATTTATGTCAATCTATTGAATGTCGAGTTAATGTAGTTTATGTTTGTGTGGTTTGTTGTCTGTTGGTTTTTATTTTTTATTTTTTTAAGTTTGATGTAGTTTGCCATGGTCGTTAGTATTGGTAAATAATCCCTAGTTTGTTGTCATGATTATGAGAAACAAGGGGAAATTGGAGGGTTAAATTAGCTACCTAACTATTCTATTAATTTAAGGGGATATAGAGCTTATGTTATTGCTTGTGTTTGGATTAAGTTTTTACTGTATATTGAAGAAATGAAGTTGCCCTTTAGGGTAAGTGCCAATAAGGCATGTCAATTTTAGGAAGCATACATAGTTTCGACTCCTTTCATCAAGTTGTAATTTCGTGTTTAAATTAAAATGACCTTCGCACCAAAACAAACAACTTCAACTTCTTGTTTGTGGTCAAAAACAGAAATTCAATCAAAAATTTTAAATTGACATTCAATTTATTCTATATTGCCCCAATGAAACCCACATTATCAAACAAACATGTTTCATATCCTCTAAATTGACAATTCATACTCTTATAAATAGTGTTTAGACATTATACCTTTTCAAATGTTTATTTACTTATTTATCCTCATTAATATTAAATGACTCCTTTTTTAAACTTTTTGGAATAGTGTGTAACCATTTATTCTCTACCTTTTAGAAAGTCTAAGTTAACTCTTATGAATACTGTTTGGACAAATATACCCTCTAAAATGTTTATTTACTTATTTACCCTCATTAATATTAATTGAAAGGAATTGTGTCCTTCCAACAAGTGTATTATTCCGATAGAGGGTTCAGAATTATTAGAAAGCTAATTCTTCAGTGAGGTCAAGTGATCGGAATGCCTAGGTGGAGACCGCTTCCGATCAGTAATATTAATGTGTAATGAATATTACAGCTTAATCTTGACTGAACTCTTCGGGTCACACCCAATCGAGTAACCGATCCGAGATGACGAATCAATCCGAAGGATTAAAAGAGTCATTAGAGTATTACGAACAAAGACATCGGATGTCGAGCTTAGAGCGTCTAAAACCGAGCGTCGCAAGTCGAGTCGAGTTTAGAATTCGACGAGACGATAAAAATCAACAAGCGACAAATTCGAGCTAAGCCGTAGCCTCGTATTGGCCTAGCCATGCGAGTGCTAGGTTAGCCTAGGCCACGCACCATGTTGCTAGCAGCGCATGCATGCTAGCATCGCATGCGCTGGCTAGCTAGCTGGTGTGGCATGGCCAGCATCGCTGGCGCGCCAAGCATGCTAGCATGTTAGTGACTCGCACATAGCAACACTGCCGCAAGCATCGCAAGGCCAACATCATGCAAGTGCTTGCTGGGCCTTGCTACCACAAGCATGCAATGCATAACACTCGCACAGCCGCTCGCTATGCGTGCTTGTGTTATGGGTTGTGCATGCGTGCTTGCTAGCGAGCAACACCAAGCAGCAACATGCAAGTTGGCTGGGCTGTGCGTGCTAGTGTAGCAGCACTTTAGCACCATGCCACTCGCACAGTAGCACACACCAAGCAGCAGCAGCAACATCGCATGTGTGTGCACTTGCTAGCTGTGTGCTGGCTGGCTGCGCATGTGCTGCGTGCTGGTTGGCTGGGCTGCCCGGCCTTAGTGCTAGGCACCAGCTGGCAGCCTTGGAAGCCAAGGCAAGCTGCTAGCAAGCCAAGTGGCAAGGTAGTGTGCCGGTTTTTTGTGGGGACCGAAATTGAGGAGTTGCTTGGTGAGCAAGGGGATTTGGTCCCCCCTCCCCCTTGAATGGTCCTCACCTACTCTCTCCCTCCATGTGACACTTGGAGCTTGTTGATTGATCTTGCATTTTTATTTTGTTTTTGATTAAAATAAAATTGAAGAAAATGCAAATCTCCCACATTGATGGGAGAAGGGAGATCAAATCTCCTTTCCCTATACATACCAAGTTTTGGGTTTTGGAAAAATCACTTGAGTTGAACTCAAAAAGGCATCTCCCTATAGGTGAAAAAACCTTTAAGTTCGTAATACTCTAGTCTTTTGTTGGTCTAGCCCTGACTAACCTTCGAGGTAGAGGCCGTTTGGGTCGGGTCTCGAGGGTGGACTCCGTCGGAGGCTCTCGCGCTTGCGGAGCTAAGGCTTTGAAGTCCGAGCTCTATAGGAGCAAAGCACGCGTCGAAGGAAAGAATGTCATTTCCCTTTCTCTTTCTTTTGTTGTTTAATTATGTGATTGCATGCTTAGTTGCTTTAATTAGTGGGCGGGTCTTGGGCGGGTTTCTCTTCCGCGTAGTGTTGGACGTTACGAAATCCAACATTAATTGACTCTTTTTTTGAACTTTTTAAAATAGTGTGACGCCATTTTATACCCCTAAAAATTATTTGTTTATATAATATTCCTTATAAATCCAACCAACTAATAAAGTTGTGACATAAGGCTAATTGAAATAACTACTCGGACGTGGTAGTTATGGCGCCCACATCGTGTGCGTTAGCCACCCTAATATTACGAAAAGTTACCCTTTTATACTACAAAAGTTACCATTTTTATAACAAAAATTTAACCCTTAAAAAATATTTATAATATACTAAATTAATCATATTAGCCTTCACGGCATGTATTTATTAGATATTACACGTTAAAATTTAATCAAAATCATACAAATTATAAGTTACCCTTCACGGGGTTAAAGTTACCATAAAAATTGTTAAAGTTATCCTTAAATTAACCGTCTTGCAAGAAAATTAACATAAGCCCACCTTACGCAAGACTTATTGAAAGTTATTAAGATAGGTCTATAATCTTAACTATATATGATAAACTTTCTGTAATCATCCCAACCTATCAATTAACTATGGATAGTGTCATGTGGCCTGGTGACCATTTTTGCGATACTATGCTAGTATGCTGTGACTTGTCCGAAATGAAAAACTTAAGTTATGTGTTTTGGTGCAAGTTTTTTTTTTTTTTTTTTTTTTTTTTTTTTTTTTTTTTGACGGGGATAGTGCAAGTTATTAGTATCATTGCATGTAATTCTCCTTAATTGTATTTATATGTGTATCATGCTTATGGCACATGTTGATTAAGGTGTCATGCATAAGCAATCTAAACTAGTCCTATGATAAATGATATCAGAACCGATTCAACATCGTTCCAGGGGAAGGGGTTCCATTCCTCATCGATCAGCAAAGTCCCCATATTGGTATATAGGGGCATCACTGGAGGGTTGCTTTTTGGGGGGAACTTAACATGAGGGCAAGCAAGTGAGCTTGGAGGAGCACGACTCCTCTAGGTTACGTAGGTAAGTAAACAATACCAGGGGATAAGGTAGTCCCCTACCCAATTTGTCTCTAATGAAGATTGATCAAACATGATTGTGAGATGTAATCCTTACCAATATGCTAAGTGCTACATAATCTTTCTATGAATTTTATTTTAATCTATCAAACATGCATTGTAATTTATATTCACAATTTTTTTAAAAAAAATTACTTCCTTAAATTGGATTGATTATTAGAAAGTCAACGGTCAAGCTGCACCACAAGGCCCCCTAGTTATTTATTGAGAAGTAGAGTCGAAGAAATTTACACATTGTTCGAATGTAGAAGTTAACTAATTAAGATACCTACCAAGAATTGAAATAGAGCGAATATTATTGAAAATGGAGATAGCAAGAATGTGGGAAATAATTGGTGATTATGCTAGTTTTGAGAAAAAATACAAGAGCAATGATACTCTTATGAAACATCCCAAAACATGAGATTCTAATAATTTTTTTTTTTTTGAACAGTAGTAACTTTAATATAAGACGAAGGAAGTAATAAACTATTTCATATTACATAAGTAGTTTACGTTAGAAAATATCTTTATTTATAATTTTTTATACACCTGTAAATGAATTGGCAATTTGGCACCAGTAACAAATAGTGAAATAATGGCAGATAAAATGTTTCTCTCGAGGAAATTAGCCAAAGACATGAATTAATGCAGCAAGCTAAGAGTTGGGCAACAATATTGACAGGGTAATTGTCGCACAGTGTTGTCTTTAGTTCCTATGTCTTCACATTTGGAGTTACACTAAATTGCTTGCTAGAAAACGACCCTTTTTCATAAACTAGGACACTCATTATTCAACGGCAAATAAGATTTTGCAATGACATGCTATTATAAGGGGTGTTGTCTTAATATGTAAATACCATAACAAAGTTGGTAGATCCCACAAATAGATGGTCTAGATATCAATTTTAATGGACATTTTCTATTCATGAAGTAATTAACCCTCTATTTGATAATATCTTATCACGCTTAATTAACTAACCTTTTTTTTCCTTTTTTTTACGAGAACCTTTTTCATTTTGTTATTGAAGAAATTGATGAATACACCATGATACTATAGCAATTTT